AACATTAAGCATCCACCGGCTCGTACATTTATAAGTCATGCATGCACGCATCCTGTGCACGTAAAAATTAAATTTGCATGTTATTTAACCTAATAGAATTTTTTAACCAAATAAATATATATTCAATAATTATATAATATAAAATAAATAAACATAATTTAATATTTTACAATAAGAGGAGTCCATCAGAGCTGAGCTGAGGCAAGCTTATGATGAGAAGCTTTCTAAGCTTAATCAGCAGATTTTTGGCCATGTTCTTGATGTATGATTTCATTTGCTGATTGTTTTGACTTTTGATCCTTTTAGTGGAACTGGTTTTTATCTTTATCTTTATTATGATTCCTCATTCCGTTTGAAATGATTGACCATAATACTTTTAGGATTTTTGGCAAACCCTCAGCCTTCAACGGGTTTGATTAGCCTTTACCGACTACCGTTTGAGTCGGGCTAGCATGCGGATTGTCTAAATCCGTTCCGCATGTGACGTTGTGCTAAGAGAGTTAACGCTCTTAGTGCTACGATATTGAATACGTAGACTTCGTCTTTCTCACGGGAATAGACTACCCGGCGACGCGTGTTAGGCGTTGACTTTAGGATTTTTGGCTAACCCCAAGCCTTTAACGGATTTGATTAGCCTTTACCGACTACCGTTTGAGTCGGGCTAGCATGCGGATTATGTAAATCCGTTCCGCATGTGACGTTGTGCTAAAGGAATGAACTCCCTTAGACTTGATGCTACGACTTCGAATACGTAGACTTTGCCATTGCTACGGGAATAGGCTACCCGGCAACGTGTATTAGACGCTGACTTATCCCTACTTAGGCTTCGGGATAAAAATACCCCAGACTGGTATTCTGGTGTCTTTTTCAATCGGTAAAAGACTAAACCGGCGACGCGTGTTAGGCGTCGGCATATCCTTTCTTAGGATTCAGGATGAAATTCCCCATGCGTGTAAGGCATGGATTTTGGTGTTATTAATAACAACCTGCCACAATGTTGAATATGTGGACGGATGTTCTTTTCAACGGTTAAGAACTAACCGGCAGCGCGGGTTAGGCGCAGACTTATCCTTGCTTAGGTTTCAGGATAGAATACCCCAGAATCGAGCTCTGGTGTCTCTTTGTACGGAAAAAGACTAAACCGGCAGCGCGTGTTAGGCGCTGACTTATCCCTGCTTAGATTCGGGATAAACTTCCTATGATGAATCCTAAATTCTTGGAAAATGGTTGGTATGGGAAAGAAAGAATTTTATATTCTATCTCCCGACACTGAAGAAGAATTTTATATTCTATCTTCAGCTGGAAAGGAGACTCGAGGTGGGATCTCCACCCCCAGAATCCGGAAAGGTGAAACTGAGAGTGGGATCTCCACTCCGAGAATCGAAAAGATTCGGATAACCCTAACTGTCGGAAGGTTTGATTACCGAACTAAAGATGAATTTCTCGTTTATCGAGAGTGAATTATGGTTTTGACCCTAACTGTAGGAAGGTTTGGCCAAACAGGAGTTTGAGGTGACCCTAACTGTAGGAAGGTTTGATCACTCGATTTGAAAGTGGACCTCTCGTTCATTGGAGGAATCGAGAGGGGATTTTGACTGTGGTCCTAACTGTAAGAAGGTTTGACCAATTGGGAGGTTTAAGACGGTCCTAACTGTAGGAAGGTTTGATCGCTTGATTTGTGGACCTCTCGTTCATTGGGAGAATCGAGAGGGGATTTTGACTGTGGTCCTAACTGTAAGAAGGTTTGACCAATTGGGAATTTTACGTCCAGACTCTAACAGAGAGAGTGTTGAGTGCACAGACACAGTGAGAACTTGAATGGGAGTCCTTATTCATTACATTGCTGTGGTTTTGGGAACTTCCCGTTACATAAATCGTCCACCCCCAGTTTCCTCTGCGGAACTGGTTCGGACATTATTATCAGTTACCTAACCGGGTTATCCTTAAGAATATTAGCTTAATATTCTCCAGGAACTTCCCGTCAAAAGTGGGGAAACAGTTTAGACTCATATACCTATTGGAGTATCAGGGAGTAGTTTAACCTCTTATACCGGTCGGAGGATTGAGAAACAGTTTATACTCGTATACTCTTTGGAGTTTTAAGAAGCAGTTTATACTCGTATACTTTTTGGAGTATTGGAAGCAGTTTATACTCGTATACTCTTTGGAGTGTTGAGAAACAGTTTATACTCGTATACTCTTTGGAGTGTTGAGAAACAGTTTATACTCGTATACTCTTTGGAGTGTCAGGAAGCAGTTTATACTCTTATACCGGTCGGAGTTTTGAGAAACAGTTTATACTCGTATACTCTTTGGAGTTTTGAGAAACAGTTTATACTCGTATACTCTTTGGAGTGTCAGGAAGCAGTTTATACTCTTATACCGGTCGGAGTTTTGAGAAACAGTTTATACTCGTATACTCTTTGGAGTGTCAGGAAGCAGTTTATACTCTTATACCGGTCGGAGTTTTGCCGTTTTTATTTGGCTTACCTTAGCGTTATAACGCCGGCTTCGACCAAGGTCTGAATGCTATTCCTGAGAGCAAAGCAATCCTTGGTGGGATGAACAACCCTTCTGTGGTATGCACAGTACTTTGGGTCCGTAGTGTTATCAGCTTCCTCCTGATTCGTGATAGGTGGTAGCTTGATCTTGTTGCCTTCGAGGAGCGATTCGAAGATGGTTGGAACGTCTTCGTCCTTGAAGGAATACTCTCTCTGGAGTCTCGGACCCGAAGTCTTCTGCTGCCTTCGGGATTGCTGTTGTGACGCTTGATTAGCACCACCAGCAGCTGCAGGTGCTTTGCCCTTACCACGGGAAGCGAAGTTTGAGTCCAGCAGATTAACCGTCGGTTGGTTCCTTTCGGCCTTCTTCCTTTTAAGGAAGCGTTCGGCTTGTTCACCGCGCACCTTCAGATCCTTCCAAGTGTCAGACGGTGCTGTCCCCATTGCCTCCAATACGTCCAATGCGAGGTTGTTGTGGCAAGTCTGGAGAATGAATTCCTCGGTGATCGGGTCCCGGCAATTCATCGCCTTGTTCCGGAACCTTTTGACGAAGGTGTCGACTAACTCCCCGTCTTTTTGTTTCTCGTCGAGCAACGATCCGATAGAGATCTCGGTGTCGTCGTCGAAGAAATTTGCAAGGAACTTCGTCTCCATGTCATCCCAGCTGTTCACGCTTCCTGGCTTGAGGCGACGATACCAATCGAAGGCAGCTCCGCGAAGAGTGCCGACGAATGACCGCACCATCAGAGGCTCGTTCCCAGAGATAGCACCCAGGTGCGATTTGAAATAAATCAAATGCTGGGTGGGGGAACCCCTTCCATCGAACGGCGTGAAGTTGATTAGACTAAACTTCGCCGGATAGGGGATTGATTCCCATTCCCTCGGGTATGGACAAGGAATGCCCGTTTTCTTTACCTCTTGAGCAGACAGCAACGTATTGATTTTACTCTCGAGGCTTTTGATCTTCAAGTCTTCACTTGTATCCCCGTTGGCATCCTCACTACCACCCCCTGCATTGATGGGAGGGTTATTGGCATTGTGAGCTTCATCCCCATCCGCGTGCTCCTTTTCCTGAGCAACCTGGTTACGGTGGCTTGGTTCACCTTGTTGGTTCCTGAATGCTTGGATTTGCTGTTCATGCATCTCTCTCATCTGCTGCATGGCCGTCTCCATCTCGAATTTAAAACTTTCTTTCTGCTTAGCCAAAGCGTCTTCAAGCATTTTGGCCATTTCTTAAATCAAATTCCGACATACCCCTGAATGGGCAGACTAAGAAAGGACCAAAGAGAAGGAAATTTTGTTGTATCTCTTCAATTTTAAATTGTTATTGTTTCATAAATGTGTCTAAGGAAAATATTAGTGCTACCTGCATTACATTAATGATTGCTAATATCATTTGACTTTCTATCCATACAAATAAAAGTTCCCCCCCCCCCTCCTTCTTGTATTTACATCAGTCTATATTAGTATCTTATGACGAATATAAGCAAAAATTCTCTATTGGGATTTCAATTGATTAAAGCACGCAGGTATTCATGCAGGAAAAAATGAGGAAGAAGAACCTTAAATTGTAATGGCACAAATAAGTTAGATGTTTGCGACGGCAACTGAATAGTTACAATTAGGTGTACAAAAGAATATTCATACCCGCAGTCTGCAGATATATCCGTATACGTATCTGTTTGTTTACGGATATGGATACTAAATATCTATGTCCAATAGGATATAAATATAAATACTGATAGCAAATACTGTATGTTTTTTAAATTTATAATTTATGACACTTTTGGAGATTATTGTACCAAATATTTAGGTGTGCTGATGTTTCTGTTTTTATATTGGTTGAAGTATCTTGTCTAATTGTTGACTGATGTGACAAAAATGATGTTCCAGCTATCATTAAGAAAGTTTTTGTAGCTTCAGTTGAGTATAAAATAAGAAAGAAGCAACTGAGATGGTTGGGGCACGTACAACATGGATCAAGCATCACATTTTTTAAGAGGAGCAATAGGGTCATAATAGTGCAGTGACAAGAATAAATGTGAAGAAGATGAAACAGAGATTAAGGCAGCGAGAAGGGTATGAAAGTTGTTACTATAGCTTTACTTGAGACTACTAGATGGAGAAATAGGAGATAATACTTGGTTTCTTTTGTAGTACTTTGAGTTAGAGGATTGATTCTCAATTCTTATCGATTATAACCTCTATTGTTTTCTCATGATAATGTCTAGCTTTGAAATTGATAACACTAATTCTTGTTCTTTCACGCTCTAATAATTAAATAATTATTTTAACTGGACTTACAATGGGTGTCTGAAATATTGGCATTGATACTATTCGAGTGGATTGGAGATCAATGTAGATGTAGTTGAAATCATGGTACAGGCATGGATATTCTTTGATATCTTATCTGCTCAAATAGAGCATTTACGAATGTGTTATGCACATGCTGTGTTTTCTATCCATACTGAGTTATCTATTGCAACTCAGGCAATTATACACTGTTCAGGACGGGGGAACTATTGCTTTGGATTGGTTGCTCGCTTCTGATGGTAAACTTCAAATCCAAAATTTGGAATAGCATGAGATAAAGACGTAATTCGTTTGAAATGTCAAGCCGAAGAGTTAACTTCGCGAAATTACTTCAATACTTATATTTAGTTTGTGACTTTCTTCAGCATTGCTATCATTTAGGATTAGTGGGCTATGAACGAGTTCCTTCTTTCTTAGTGATCTTTATCTTCAATAGTGATTTGTGGATTCAGTAAGTCAATAGTATCCCAATAATAGACAATTCCAAAAGAGTGTAAGTTTGAAAATTTGAAATTTACTATGCTAAAGAAGAAAAGTCGAGCATAGTGGCATTAATGCAGTTTCTTATTGTTGTGCCTTCTGTATACTTTGCAGTCGCAGGTGCTTCTTATGACACTGGCAGGGTCATTTCTAAAGATGATTCAACTCCCCTTGTGATTGTGATTCCTGGACTTACCAGTGATTCCGCTTCTCCAGTAAGTTATTTACTTCCATATTCCTTATTCCTGTATACACACCCAACAATTCCCCTTTACAATTTAGTCATATTCCATATTCCTCTTGGATCTTTAAGTTTATAGTCTAAATTGTAATGGTAGAAATAACTTAATATTAACAGTAATTTCTTATCACGCGTGATTTCCTCTGAGTTTTTCCTTCAAATTCAAAGGTTGCACTTACAGGTAACAGCTGATCTCACCCCTCTCAATCCAACACAGGTGGTTGTCAAGTTCGATACCTTCAAAATTCTTGGTCTGGTGAGTGATAATTTTCCTCGTAATTTAATTATATTTACATTTGAGCACTCAGTAGTTATTAATACAGATCATTTTCTTCTTTTACATCTATTGTATTTTTATTTTTATTATCATGTTTTTTGTGATATAATAAGGCCAGAGTAAATTCCTGAAAAAATAACTTACCTCTTTGTGCTTCGATAATATTCGAACAGATACCTATAAAGGCACCTGATATCGCTCGCGGTGAATTGGAAATCACTTACTTAGACGAGGAGATCTGGTAAGGCACTTCCCCAATATTATGTAATGTTTTACTGCGGTGATAAACTTTTGACTGCGAGTATCGAAAAGAAAAGAAATACTTGTTCATTTTACTTGTGTCATGTCATATTTTAGTTTGATTAAAGTCGTCGCACTATATCTGTACTATATACTTAGACGAGGAGATCCGGTAAGTCACTTCCCCAATATTATGTAATGTTTTCTTCCTGTTTTCCAAGTGCGTAATATCAAGTAAATGTCTAAATCAAATAAAATGATTACTATTTAACGAAATAGCAAGAATTTTCCTTATCTTTACGAGAAAGACCTTTAGAAGTGCTCTGTCATCATTATTCACATAGCCCAATTGTTGGATGGAGATAATGACTTCGGGAATAGTATGTGATATTGAGGCTTGTAATGTTATTTCCCTCATATGTGATGATGATTTTTAGTTTGTGATTCTTGTTTTGATTTATTTTATAATTAGGTATATCAATTCTGATTTCATCAATCTAATATCAAATAGTGCACATGCAAAGCAAAGCGAGATTGCATTTAATAATTTATTTTTATCTGATTCTGATTTGGTTCAGAATTAGAGAGGAGAACAAACCCTTGGATGATTGAAAATTATGCAACTATAGTTTCTATTTTTTAAGTTGATCCGTTCATAGTAGTTCCCTTGGATGATTGGAAACTATGAATTAATTACATCACCGTTTCTTTGATTTGGTTTGGAATCGGATAAGAGAAAGATATGGGTTGTCTTTGATTTGGTTCTGGAATCGGAGAATCACAAATGATAGAGTTTAGTTATTTTTTTTGTTGTGATTTCGGTTGTGATTTTTTTCCTAAATTAGGTATTAGGTATATCAATTCTGTTTTGATCAATCTAATATCAATTGCATAACCAATAGATTAAAGATATTAAAATGTTTTGTAATCATTACTTGAGAAAACCTGTTCCTTGAGTAATTATGTATGTTGTGAAAACCTGTTGTGCAATTCTCACGTAAATAATTTAATAATTTTTTTATGTATGTTGTCTCTGAATAATTATGTATGTTTTGTCTCTGAGTAATTATATATGTTTTGTAATACACTATTACGTGTAGATTAAATTATTTAACATTTTTTCATATTAATGCAGATATCCTACTTGGTTGGATTTGCCTTGTTTTTTTTAAAAACATTTCTAAAGTTGTCGGTGATTCAGGTTAGTTAAGCAACTTTCTTCTCTTTTCTCTTTATTTTGTTCATAGTGATGATAACTTTATTTCCTTGTATTTATCTTCTTCTACACTTAAATATTAATTATTATTATTATTATTATATGACTTAAAAAAAATTAACCTTAACATATGAGATATTTGTGATTACTGACGCATGTATAGTTTACCAAATTTCTAAAAAAAAAACCTTAAATACTATTGAACAACAAATAAAATATACTTATTCTCTCAAATTATATTCACTGCTATACTTATGTTTAATTTATATTCACTGCTATACTTATGTTTAATTTAATAAATCAATAATTTAACACATTAATTTTTTTCCCTTGTAGAAATTTACATTCTACTTCTTGGATTGCATAATCACTATACATTTGCATAAGAGAACCTTCTTCCAAATGACTTCAAACCAAGGTTTGAATTCAACATAAATATATATTATTATTGCTTTATGTGTATTTGTGTTTATTAATAGTATATTTTATTATTTTTTAACAGAAGACCACATTCTAATACATGAGAGTAGAAACACCAAATATAATCAGTTGAATGTTGATCAGAAGAGAACTTACATTCAGAAGGTCATTGATAATAATCTAAAGAGGAAAAGAAATGATTTAGCTGGCAGTAGTACCAATAGCAAGGGAAAACGTAAGATTGATTTGTTTTGTGGAGCGCAACAGCGAGAATATGAGCATGGAGGTTTGCATTGATTAATTTTATAATTTATTAAAATAATTACATGATTTTATATATCTAAATTTATTTAACACTAAAAACTATTATTTTTTTCTAGGTCAAATTACACATGAACCAGTATGTTCTTTATTACATAAACTACGGACTCCAAAGTTTTGTTCATTTTGTGGAGCAAAAAAGTTTGAACATGAGCCACCAACATCCTATTGTCACAATGGTGAAATCCACCTAGCAGATGTGAATGTTAATGACGAGTTATATGCCCTTTATACGGTACAAACCCAAGAGGCAATTGAGTTTCGAAGACAAACCAGAAAGTATAATAGCATTTTCTCATTCACATCATTTGGGGCAAGGTTTGATAGAGAACTTGCATCAAACAGAAAGGGTATTTTCACATTTAGAGCACAAGGACAAATATATCATAATCTCCCCTCTCTTATTCCAGAAGAAAATAAGCCTTCCTACTTTCAACTTTACTTTTACGATACGGAGAATGAGTTGCAAAATCGAATGGGAATATTAGATAATGCAAACATGAGTACGACTACAACTAAAAGATTGATGGATATATTAGAAGGAAACCCATATGCAAAATTTCTGCGGAAACTAAATGATTTTCCATCTCTTGAAGACTTCAAGATCATTATAAATAGAGATGCTGCAGTAGATCAACGTGTTTACAACTCGCCAACAGTGGATCAGGTTGCAGCTGTCTGGGTAGAGGGAAATAATGATAATGTTCCGTATGAGAGAGAAATAGTTGTCCATTCACACTCTGGCAAGAATCATCAAGTTAGGCACTATTTTGGTTGTTATGATCCTTTACAGTATCCTTTACTCTTTCCAGGCGGAGATGTAGGATGGCACCAAAATATTAAAAGAAGGGATAAAAATGATATTCGCCAGTCCAAACAAGTAAATACAACATCTCAAGTAACTCAGCAAACTTTTACATCTGCAGAAGATATATTTAAACGAGAAAG